CACCCCCAAAAGTTCCTTCATGCCTCTTTATGGTTGGTCCCCCCCTTACCCTTTGCCTTTTCTAGAATTTCATACAAACAGAATCATAACTATATAACACTTCTGTGTCTGGGTAGCTTCTTTTACTTAGCAAAATGCTTTTGAAATACATCTCATAGATGTATTGGTAGTTCCTTTTTATTGCTGAGTAGTATTCCACTGCAATCCACATCCTAAGTCATTTTGTGGATGTACGATTTCATGTATCTTGCATAAACACTTGGGGATGAAGCTGCTGGGTCATATGGTAAAAGTCTGTTTATCTTTTTAAGAACACTGTTTTCCAAATGGCTGCACTATTTTGCATTCCAACCACTAACATATTAGAGTGCCTGCTGCTCCACATCTTTGCCAAACCTTGCTACTGTCAGTCTTAATTTTAACCACTCTAGAGGATGTGTAGTGGTATCTTGTGGTTTTAATTTTCACTTCCCTAATGACTAATGATGCTGAAGTCTTTCATGTGCTCATTAGCCATCAGTGTATCTTCTTCGATGAAGTTTCTGTTCAAATATTTACTCCATTTTTTTCACTGAATTTCTTGTTTTCTCCTTTATATATTCTAATGGAAGAATAGTCTTTATATTTTGCATCTGATTATATAATTAGTTCTGATGCTTGATCAGACACATGTTTTACTAAAATTTTACTTGTCTGTAGCCTGTCTTTTCCTTTTATTAAAAGTGCCTTTTGAAGAACAAAATTTATAACTTGATGAAGTCTAATGTATCTACTTTTTGTTTTATGTTCACGTTTTTTGTGTCCCGTCTAAAGAATCTTTATCTAACCCAAGGTCATTAAGATTTTCTCCAGCATATTCTAGAAGATTTACAGTTTTAGCTTGTATATTTAGGTCTATGGTCGATTTCAAGTTAGTTTTTATATATGATGTCGTCAAGGTTCAATTTTTTAAATACAATTATCTAATTTCCCAGTCCTACTTGTTGAAGACTATCATTTCTCCTCATTCAGGTACCTCTGGCAAAAATCTTTTGAGTGTACACGTCCACATCCATTTCTGTACTATTACGTACCACTGATCTTATGTCTGTCTTTATGCAAATACCAGTCTCTGCCTACTATAGTTTTATAGTCTGGAAATCCAAGGGTGTAAGTTCTCCGACTTCATTTCTTTTTCAAACTAGAACATAGACCTAAATGTAAGAATAACCAGAACAGGTTATTCTAGGTCCTTTGCATATAAATTTCACAGTCGTCTTATTAATCTCTACCCCCGAAAAAGTCCGTTTTGATTTTTACAGCAGTCATATGGATTCCACAGACCAAATTTGTGGTCTGCCATCGTAACAATACTGTAACGATACTCCATTTCCAATTTGAGAGCAGAGTATATTGATTTATTTAGGCCTTCCTTAACTTCTCTCACGAGTGTTTTGTAGTTTTTACTATTCAGGACTTACATATAATTTGTTAAATAGTTCCATCTTACTCTGCTCCTGATCTGAAGCAGGAAGTACTCAGTCTTTCGCTGTTAAGTAGGATGTTGGCTCTAGTTTTTTGGTAGATGCTGTTGATCAGTTTGAGGAAGTTTCCTCCTATTTTCAACTTCCTGAAAGTTTTTATCATGAATGGATGTTGAATTTCGTCAGAGGTCTTTTCTGCATCTATTGAGATTATCATAAATTTTTCCTTTTTTAGTCTGTCATACAGTGGATTATAGTGATTTTTTTGAATGTGAAACCAAATCCATATTCCTAGGATAAACCCTACTTGGTTATCCAGTAGTCCTCTTTTTATATATTGCTGAATTCAATTTATTAGCATATTTTAAGGATTTTTGCATGCATATTAATAGGATATATTGTTGGTATTTCTATGTTTTTTAGTAATATTTTTGCTTGGTTTGGTTTCACGGTAATGCTGGCTTTATAAAATGAGCCAGGAAGTATTTATTCTCTTCTACTTTCTCCTGTGTTTGTACAGAACTGCTGTTAATCTTATCAACCGTATTTTTTATTCCAGGTACTGTGTTTTCATTCCAGATACTCTACAGATTTGATCTGAGTCCTTTTTATTTTCTGTATCTTCCATTTCTCTCTTCATCGTGTTGAGACCTTCCTTTATCTCACTGAACATATGCAGTACATTTATAACAGCTGTTGTAACATCCTGGACTGCCAGTTTTCTCATCTGTTTCATGTCAAGGTCTGTTCTCATTGACTGGATTTTCTCCTGGCTAAGGGTGTCTTTTCATGATTCTTTGTATGCCTGGTAATTTTTTATTGGATGCCAAACACTGTGAATCTTACGTATTTGTTGCATTCCTTTCAATATTGTTGGATTTTATTCTAACGGCAGGTGCTGTTAACTGGAACTCAATTTGATCTTTTTGAGGATTACTTTTAAGCGGTGTTAGGGTGGATCCAGAGCAGCCTTCAGTCTAGACCTAGTGTGATATGCCACTCCTGAGACAGTGCCCTCCGAGGTCTCTACTGCATACCCGTGTGTCACAAGGTCTGATCTAGGTGATGGAAATCTGAGCCGCTCTCGTCCTGCGTGAGCTCCAAGGACTTTTCTATCTAACCCTTTCTGGGTCATCTGCCTCGGGCAGTTTCCTCATATGTATGCACACAGGTATTGAAGTCAACACAGTCAACTGGATAAGCTCCTGCCTCACGCTGCTGTGGGACAGAGAAACCACAAGCAGTTGCACCAGCAGGTATGTAATATATGTATCCATAATGAGATAAATGAAATGCTCCAAGGACAAAACAAAGGAAGCAGGATAAAGAATTAAAGTGAGAAGGTGAGGGGGTTAGAACATCCCGGTTAGAAAAGGGCTCTCTGGGGCAGTGATATGTGAGCAGAGACCTGAATGAAGTAAGGGAGGGAATCAAGCATATACATGGGGGAAGGCCTTACAAAGAGAAGGCAGCAACTCCCCGAGGCAGGAGACTTCTCAGCAGTTTGAGGAGCAGAACTGAACTGTAGGTGAACACACTTTACAGAGGGACATGTTCTGAAAAAGGGGGAAGAAATGCATTCAAGGGCTAGTCTTTCAGGGCCTGGTAAATTTCCATGAACGAGGCTTTTGGATCTCGTTCTAAGTGGGGTGGGAAGCCGGGAGGGTTCTGGGCCGGGTATAGACGTGATTTAGTTTACATTTTTAAAGGATCACTTCGGCCTTTATGTGACCACTAGATTATAGAGGCAGCAAGAGTGGAAGTAAGGACTTACTCCAGTTTGCCTCCTTTACTAAATAATCAAACTCCTAATCCTCTCTCTCACTATTGTCATGCGTGTATCTGAACCAACCTGATTTCTTTTTCCTACTTCTTAACTGGCTCCAACCAAGCCTTGGAGCTAATCCTGCTTTAGCTACTTCTCCAGCTGTAGGCAGGCAGAGGCAGCACTGGCTCCCACGTGCAGAGCAGTCACTACCCTGGGTTACTCAGGAGAGCTGAGGAGAAACAGAAACGACAGGAGACTTGCCCCCATGTGCTTCCTAAGCCTACGACAAAGACATGACACACTCGCAGCGAGCGTCGGCATACTCTACCAAACGCTGAATTCTAGAAGGTAAAGGACGTTGAGGCAGCAAATAGACAGACTAACCTTCTGTATCTGTAGCACTGTTGATAACGTTAGACAGTTTGGTTCTCAAGCTTGTGTACGTCACGGTGTTTCTCACGTCACTCTCGTAACGCCCGGTGCCCAGGGACACTATGCATTCTAACGGCACATCCGGCCAAAGACATTTACACTCATGCATGGCTAGTGCTGAGGGGTTATTCAGAAGCAAACCTCCATCCTGCAGAGAGAAGTCACGTAAATACAGTACAGAACTCTTAGAAGTGACATTCTCTTTTACAAATACAAAAACAAACTATGTTAAAACAGTTTCGAATTTACTCACCGGGAAAGCTGGACTACATAACAAATTGAACAAATTATTTAAAAACAAGAGATTCCTTTAAAGTGCATTTATTTTATGTACTACAGCTGCAAAAGAAGTCATGTGAAAAAACTCACGGGCCTCACTGGCTTTATTAAACTTTCCCTTCCTATTATGAAAGTTCTTTGAACTTCCTGGAATGCTCTGCATATCTTGCTCAAAACTACTGAAATGAACTGAACTACTTTTTAAAGATTTTTCCCCCTTGTTTAGTGGCTAATGTGATTCTGTACACAATCTAAAAAAAGAACTGTGGTTCTACCAAACAAGTAAGACCAGTTCTTCTTTCACAAGTCAAATGTAATCAAGTTAATGCAACCAATTTAAGTGGAAATTTTATTAACAATTTCAAAGTATCAAATTCATTTACTGCAGATATAAACCTAAACAAGGTAGGCAAACTTCATATTTTTAAGCATTTATCAATAATCACTATTATTTTGAAGAATTCAAAAGGAAAGAAATATGCTGACAGCAAACTGTAAAAAAGCAGTAGAATAAAAAAAAAGTATCTAACCAACCCCCCATTCCTGGGGTAAACATCACTTGGTATTAGGAAAGCCATTCAATTTCTGAAAGCTATCCGCTATTAGAAAATTATTCCTTCTAATAAGCCCAAATCTCCTTCCCTGTAACTTGTACCTATTAATTCTGGATTTGCATTTTGAAGCTACCCAGAACTGGTCATCTTCTAACCCCTACAGCCTGGTTGTTCACAAACTACTGGCCGTTTTCTGAAGGAGCCACATTCTCTCGCTTTATGCCTCTGCACATGCTGCCAACTCAAAATGCTCCTTCCCAGCCCTCTTCTTGGGAATAATGCTTCTGAGATCCATCCATCTCACTGCACATGCCAGTGATTAATTCCTTTTTATTCCTGAGAAGTATTTCATGATTAGAGTGTATCACAGTTTATCCATTCACCGGCTGAAAGGAACTATTTGGCTAGGTAATTGTATGATTTAACTGCAAAAATCTACTTGGACTCCTTAAATGTGGATAGTGGTAAGTTATTTCCCTAAAGTACTTGAGTATTTTCTCAAGGACAAATTTTAATTTAATCAGTTCAACCTTCTCCTTTGTTTTCAATTAATATGAATGATACCCATCCATATTTCATTTCTAATTCAGCTAAAAAAGTTATCTCCTTTATTAAACTATATTTATCTTAAATTCTATAGTTATACTCTGTGTAACTCCTAATCATCTGAGTATTTTAGACGAAACACTTCTTCATTATTATAAAAACTATGAAGAAGGATCTGAGAAGACAAACAGATGAGGAAAGGTAAGAAGGGGCAAACAAGGTTTAGAAAAGAATTGGCAGTAAAATCAATTCCACATCAGAAAGTTTCCAATGGTGTTAACAGCTATGCTTCAAATCAAATTCCAGTTCCTAATCAACTATTCATTCTTTGTACACAGACTCAGAGGAAAACGTCTTTGTAGAGCCAACTTCAACAAAATAAATCACGTCTTTTATATTACTTCTTAATCCTATACACATTTTTATTACTGAACTTATCATCTCATCTATAGTTCCATTTATATTCTTCTAGTTTGAGCTACTTGAGGGTAGGATCCAGGAGACACAAACAATACATGAGCAGTTACTAAAAACCTTTATATTCTTCCTGGCGAACACAGTGCCTGGCACTGCGTAGGCACTCACTACATTTCTGTCCAGTTATAATGAAAATTCCTAGTTGTGGCCTGGCTCAGGCATAATTTAGCACTGAAAGTGCCAGGCAGGCTCTTTTGCTAAAAACACTCTTTACCTGGAACACTGATATGAAATATCATCATTTCTTTTAGGTTAATGTATTCAGAGTTCTGAACATAGCCTTTTAAAATGTACATAGGGCCTGAAAGAAATAATATATTAGAATCTGCCATCAAAATCTTCAGCACAAGTTAATTTATCAGGCTCCTTCTCCAAAGACAGAGAATAATTGATTTAATTCTGGAGGTGGAGATGGAAAAAGGTAAGAGAGAAGGGATATGCTTATGTCCAAACTCATCAAACTGTATGCATCAAATATGTTCAGTTTTTTGTATATCAATTTTACTTCAATAAAGCTGTTAAAAAGAAAGAGAAGATAATTTTGTGTAAAAAGTACTATTTCAAGATGATGCTACTTGGGTGGGGGAGAGAAATAATCTATTGGAAACTACTCAGAAAGCTAATCCTACTTCCTAATTCTCCAAGACATCTAATAAACCTTGTAAATACTGTAATAACATTCTTCTCTTTATGGTCAAAGGCAAATGAAATCTACCTATCTACTGACTCAAACCTCTTAATTATACCACTGCTTTCAATAACTGTTCAAGCAGAATATTAATACATAATATATAACTCTACCTGATTTCAAAAAGGATATGAAGTTACTTATATTAAAACATATGTCAGACACGACAGTTAAATAGGATTTTAAAAATGAGACCGGATATAACTGAATATAATTATTCAACGAACTAAGGATAAAAGGATTGTAATAAGCAAGTAGCATATTTTAGTTTTAAACTTCCTGGTGATTTCTAAAGGGCTGGAAAGGAAGTTTGCTTGAATGTTTTCTGTGTTTAAGCAATCAAGAGCATTCATACCTTAGAATACTCTAAGCAACCTTTCACAGTTTCTTCAGGAGGAAAATATCCCATTTCTTCCTCAAGTATCCAGGAAAGATTATGCAATAAGGAAAATATTTGCTTAAATAAGGTTTGCTTAGACTCCAGATTCCATCTGAATATCCTTACTAAGATAGATATGCCAATCTTTCCGGAATCAAGTCACTGATTTACATGAAAGTACATTCTCTGTATATGTGGCTATATGCTTTAAATAAAATTTATATAAGAAGTTATTTTAATCTGTAGCTCAGCCTAAGTTCAAAGATTACGGTCATCAGTATAAAAATGGCCACGCACGGAAAGAACCATCACTAGTCAGTCTATCTGAAATGGAAAAAGAACCATGGAATCACTTTGGTTGGTTGTACGTATTCTACAGGACTGAATTAAACCTTAGAACTACTTCCTCTTAGATGAAGAATAAAGAGCAAATGAAATAACTTCGCTTGAATTCTGGGAACACATGGTCCCGAAACGCAGTAACTTATCATTTGAGACTTTCGCTAATACTTGGCATAACTGCCATTTTGTAGCATGACAACCATCTTAAAATTACAAAACCTTAACTATTATATTTTTGAATACATTGTTAATTTTTCCATTTATGACATGGTAAAAAATACTACAGGATATGGAGAAACAGTTGTTAAAAACAGCAGGATACATGTTAAAATGAAAATTTTATTTTGTCTTATTAGCCCTGAAGTCAAACTCTACAACTAGCACTTTCTGCCCTGAGGGGGCAGAATAGAGCAGAGAAAGGGGGGAAGGGGACGTGCCTTACATAATTCAGCAATGACTGCTCTGACCAGGCAGGAAATAGTCTGAACTGACTTCCAAAGACGAAAGGAACCCTACTCTAACCTCTTAACCACAAAGATTATGACATTACTTCGGAAAGACAGAAAGAGATTGCTGATTGCAACATTTGAAAATATATCTAAGCTATTATATAAAAGTATGGGAGAAAATAAAGTTGATAAAAATGTTTTATTGTAACATTGACACATGTAAATTAAAATTATATAGCTGATATATAGTTTATGTCGAAGATTTATGAACTTTTGAACATCTAAAAATGCTTATCAAAACACAAGTTTTTTTCTCAGCATGTATCTGAAAACCAAGTGAAGAGAACACATACACTTTAGTTAAGGTTACTGACTCCATCAAAGGAGGCTGATTTTAAGTGGGATGTTATATAAGAAATTAAACATATATTAAAAACATATATTTTGGAAGTATCAGTCCAAAAGCTTTGTTGAATTTTTTTTTTAAATCACTTAGTGCAGGTTATGAGTTAAGATTTCTGTAAACAGTGGGAAAACCCGACAGGGAAAAATTTACCACAAGTAAATGAGCCTATATCACAGAAAAAGAATACAACTCAACATTACAGAAATAATATTCAGCTTTATAGATCATTCAGCCATAAATTTAAATACAGCATAATTACAGATGGCATCGTAACAGTTACAACCTTAGGCTGGTTACTTAACTTTCTTAAGACTCCAATTTCTCATTTGTAAAATGGACATAACCCTATTTGCCTCATAAGCAGCGGTGATTAAACGATGTAATGCTTGCAAAGGACCACATAGGTGTCGGCACATGGCTAACTTAATGAGTATCTACTATTATTATTTTATTACATCCTGTCTTTCAAAATATGTCCACCAAAACCGTCAAACAGACCGTGTTCTGCATTTTCGGGGCCTGTGTTTCATTTTTAGTTTTTATCACATTTGGAAAGCCAAGCATACACAATCATTTTTCGATCAAATTAAAATGATCGTCGCTGGCCATCATATTAGGGAAGACACAAACAAATCTTCCCTAAATTGTGCTCTCAAGCCAGAAGGCTTGCTAATTTAAGAAAAGCAAACAAGTGAAAATATCTTGTACTGCACGTCTTTTGCCACAGGGACACACGAAGAAAGCCTCCTTGGTTGATCCCTCTTTAAGTTTAGTGAGTGGATTCTTTCTAATCGTGTGAAGTTTTAAAAAGACAAGCCTCGCAGTCGACTTACTTGATGGAGATCATTCCCCAGTGCGTACTCTGCAAAGTAGCCGGGAGCAGCGGAGGAGGCTCTGATGGCCTGCCACATCTTATACTGACAGCCTCCCAGGTAGTGAGAGTTGGTTCCAGGAAAGTGTCCATAGTTTCTGAACACAAAAGCTTTTGGCGTTAGCCCTCTGTTTACTATGGTACTTACTGCAGCTACCTAGTGAATTAAAAGAGAACAATACACATAGTAAGTGGCAATATTTGGGAAGCAAACAAGTTAAATATTACTTAATAGGACGAATGAACAATCTGTGACTCTACCCATCAACATTTATGTGACACATAACTGCAATGTTAAGCAAAAGGAAGCAGATCCTTATGAACAGGTATTTCTTTGTAGGAAAACAGATACAAGGGCCGAGACAATTTTGAGAAATATAAGAGAACAATAATAAAAGATGTTTTTGACTATGTGACTTGATTAGCTATTTAAAAAGACATTCAAGAAGGCATAAATTTGCAGACCTTTATATGATAATTGACACTGCGGTAGTAGCCATGAATAAAAACAACTTAAAGATAAATACACTATTTTCATATTACTTGCAAATTAGCCTGTGTTTCTGTGCTCTCTGAAGGCATTACAACTTAACTAACTGAAACTCTAGCACTAAACAAACTCTCAAGGCTTTCTGATCATAGTTAGTAACTGGCAGCTGGCTAATTTTTCATTAAAGGAACTCATGTTTATCACCCGGGGGTCTCAGATGTTACTGATGTCAGCTGAATTTATGCAAAAATGTGATGTACCTGTCCATGATCTACAGTATAAACTTAAGAAGCTGAAAGTACTGGTGAGGTCAGAGTTGTCAGGGCCGCATGCCAAGCCCTGCCAGGGAACTGCATGCTTTGCTATTTCATAAACCAAAGGTCACATTCCAAGTTCCTGTGACTGATCCAAGTGTGTCTCTAGCCACCGTGGGTGGATAAGAGTTGGCTACATACTAAAACCCAGAGGGTCTTTCTGTCAGTGGCCCACAGGCAGGCTCATTCAAGAAGTGTGGGCGCTGCTTTACATGTGAGTGAGTTACTTTTCCAAGTGGCTGCGGTTCCCTCACATCCGCCCTATTCTCCTTCCTTTTTTTAAGCTGGCAACTGTCACAATTTAAAAACGAACACACAAGAAGCCCTGAAGATACAGGAGAACAAACAAGAGGTATAGGTGCACCCCAGGCTCCTCTCCAATGAGCCAGTGCATCTCACCATCAGGGCTTTGCGCGGTCTGGCCAAGCTACTGCTCCAGCCTCATTTCGCCCGCTGCCCTCGGCTCCTGGCGCTCCAGTCCTCAGGAACTCTCTCAGTTCCTGTGTTTCTCCACACTCCTCCCATACAGACTGTTCCCTTTGCCAGGAACGCTCATCAGCCTTCACACTGAGACCTCAAATCTCATTTCCTTATAGTAGGAGCCTTCCCTCATGGCCCTGTAAATACATGCTTTCAGAGACCTGTTTTTGTGTGAGGAAGAATCTCTCATTCGTGTGATCATCTGATTAATGCCTACTTTGCCCTATGGGACTATAAACTCCACGCCTGCACTTACTCACTAGTGCATCCACAGTGCCTGCCCAGCACGGTGCTGGCACATGGGATGCAAAACTAACGTCCAAACAATAAACGAAAGTACGAATAAGCAAGCATGCAGGAGCAGTAGAGGAAGCTGTACTTGGCATTTCATGGTTACAGTCTATTATCCAAGAATAAAGACAAGCTGCATGGAATTCCTAGGTATAAAAATCCTATTCTTTAGTCAAATAACAGGTATTATTAAAGAACACAGAACTCAAGTAATACTCAGATTCCGGGTTTCAAACAAAATAAATAAAAAAAGAGAAGCCAAACCAAGACACATTCTAATGGCATTAACATTCTAAAAATTGGGATTCCATCTGTATAGTAATCTAATATATACTAAGAGGCACATAAAGTTTCTTTCAAAAAATCCAGGAGAGGGAATGCCATAATTTCCCTTAAATCACCAGATCTGATTAACTCTATAATAAAATAATTCTCCTTTATATTAGGTCCCAGTCTTCCATGTCCTTAAACTTTTGTTATACTTTCACTTGACATACAAAAAAGGTCTAATGATCACGTTCTCTATCTTCATAGGAGGACCCAATATAAAAGGAATCAATATAATCTGTTAACAGAGGCTCCTAAGAAATTTTTCCCTTAATAAAGGGCCTTCAGAATAAGTCCTTTCACCTGACCTTCAGTTCCAACTAGGTGTTATATTTAAGAGACTCGAAACTTACCTTAGGACATGTGGGGTTTCTTGCTGTTTCAATCATTAGTGAAGATCCCATTCTATCCCTTAATTAAAGAAGAAGAGTTAAATTAATGTCAAAGTGATTTTATTTCCTAACATCTGGGAACATACACTATGGAGACACTGTTGGCCCACAATTTTTCAAAACCCTAAGGGACAAAAAAATGTAAGATCACCTCTAGGAGGCTTACAATCCAACTAGTGCACATTAAACAACCTGTAGTTACTTATTACGTCTGATTCAAACTGCAAATATTTACAGTTCTGAGGGGGGCGTTAATACAGGCTGCAGCATCTGGGAAAGATGCACAGATGAGTAGCTTGAGGACACC